TGTGTTTTTAAAACTTGGTTACGGTTGTGACAAAGCCGTAAAGATCATAAAACAATGTTGAGGTGTATTTTAAGGTAAATTTGTGTTCTGGTTTTTAATAGTAGATTTTTTCATGTTTGTTTTATTTTACTCTTAACCGCTTGCTTGAGTTAGGCGCGCGACCAATTAGTTATGTGTTTAACAATACTCAAACCATATATGATCTCATCAAAGTGTAGATATTATGTATCACAAAACTTTTTTAAAGTGGAATTTAAGTTTTATTTTCTCGTTTTTTTTATAACTGCCTTTCGAATACATTTTAAAGACCACTTCATAGTTTTAAAACGTCTAATTTTTTTACTGTAAACATTAATTGTTATAACATTTGGAAGTAATTTGCATAATTTTTTGTGCTATAATGTTTTTATTAAAAATAAATAGAAGAGCATATATTATTCAGGAGGCCTATATGGACTTCTGCGTAAACTTATTATATTATTGGGGTCCGCGGGCTTACTTAATTTTATTAATGGCTCTATAGAAAATTAAGTTTGGCACTGAATATGCATATTGCACTTTTCACAAAAAAGACTATAATTACTTCATAAATTTGACCTTTGCATGCTGAATTAAAAAAAAAACTAATGTGCGTCTGGGCACCCGAATCTCGTGCACAACTTAATTAAACGCTTAATAGCCTAAACACGTTGCGGTTGAATAGGAAATCAGTGAACTATTAACTATTAGCCTCTGTAGTGGCAAATTAATTGTTTTATTCTTAATTAACATTGGATAACATTGAAGATATAAATGTCAGTTTTTCACAATTTTTAACGTTAGTTGAAGTCCATTTCGTTATACATTTATACATTTATGTTTATGTCGTAATATTTTTCACATAGTTGAATGACTTCTAAAAGTCCCGGCTACAAAAATTAAACAATTTTATTGGTTCTCTATACCCTTAAAGAAATAGGTAAGAGGTTAGTACCTACCCAGATGGGCTCTGCGGCAGAAAAGTACCTCTACCACCAGTAAAATGTATTTTTTCAAGTGGATTTTTTTATATATGTTTTTGTTGACCGTACATTTATGATAGACTCCATTCTCAGAAGTGTACAAACTTGATAGTGAATACGACCTCTCTTATATTTCTTTTATGATTCGTATTAGGATGTTTAAAGAATATCATATATATTAACTTGGTGGTAGGACCTACCTTTTGCCTGGGAGTCCACCTGGGTTGGTTGGAATCACCGCCCCACATATATCCGCCGACAAGTAGCAGTGCTTGCTCTGCTGTGTTATGGTCTAAATAGTGCAGAGATCATTATGATTACAGGCTGTGTGACATTATGTCGTAGTCCCCAGTGGTGACAATATATCTGTAGCGTAAATTATTTGAAATTTGCTACGGGCATCCTCCGACTGCGGTAGCCATATATCATCGGGTGAAATGTAAGTTCTACTTTGCATATAAGACTTTTCACATTCATTTCTCAGTCAATTTCATAAAACTTCATTAGAACCAGTCCTAAGGGCATTTCATTAGAAGTTACACAAACTCGAGCAATATCTATACATTTCAGGCCAATATCGATAAAAAAATTATGCATTAAAGAGTGAATGGCGAATTTAAAAACTTACAATTTAAGAATTTACAAACGAACTTTAAGTAAACCTGATGTATAGTAGCTGCAACAGCTAATTGACGCCTCCAAATCCGATACAGTTTAGCTCCAGAGGACTAAAATAGAATTTGTGTAATTATTAGAATAATAATACCTTTTACATATGGTAAAGCCATTCTTCAGCTACATTATGGTTGTAACATGAAAGGTAGGGCTCGACCAAGGAAAGAACACGCTCTAACACCGTGATAGATGCTACAAAATACGCAAAGAAATGCAACATCTATTCGCAATGCCAGCGAGTCAAGCCGATCGGAAAGAGCTCGGTCGCTGACGATTCGAACAGCTCTACGCTGCATGCGATCAATAGAAGGAGCTAGCACTGGGAAGCCTCAGCTCAGAGATGGGAACAGTATTCCATGAGCGGCCGCACCTGCGCCTTGTAAAGTTGCAGGTGATGAACCGGCATGAAATACTGTCCCACTCTGCTGAGCACGCCAAGCTTTTTAGAGGCCAATTAGGCCTTCTCTTTCAAGTGACCATGAAATTGCACGTCACTCGATATGTCGACGCCGAGGATTCCGATACTGGCTGAAGCAACAAGGGGAGTGCCTTGAAACTGTAGAGATACGACTAAGGGGCCCTTTTTAGCTTTAAACGTGCAAACTTGAGTCTTCTGGGGATTAAACTGGACTAGATTTAGTTGCTTCCAGTCCAAGATGTTGTTTATCAAAATCTCGATTTCAGACACAAGTTTGCCCCTGTACTTGGCGACGTTTTCCCCAGAAATATTGCACGGCCGTGCAATATTTCTCACGGCCGTGCTGTCGTCTGCATAGCAATAAATATTACGGGTTTACAACATTTTCTTATTATGTGTTGCTCTCACTCTGAGTTTGGGTTGAGAATATGCAATACATCTGACAAGAGACAGAAAACCACCTCCCACAAAAAAAAAAAAAAAAAGAAATGATTAGCTGTGTTCTGTTTATTTCATAGTTGTATAAAGTATTATATTGTAAAATAATATAATAAATTATATAGTAAATTATATAGTAAATTAAAAATTTAAAAGAAATATCCTACTGGGTTTCTTGCTGGTTCTTTTCAGGACAGAGGTTTTCTCCGAACTAGTCGTCGTAGTACTAGATTGGATAAAAAGAATTCTATGCTATTCTAAAAGCTTTTTCTGTAATAACCCTCCCTAAAAATTCTACAAGTATAATCTTCTCATACAGTATTGATCGGTACTCGTTTTGCAGACAAATATGTTTTTTTTGGTTACCATAACTGATTATCTAACCGATTAAAGTCTGAAATTGATATTTTATTTCCGTGCTGGTAACGCTACGTCAAACAAATGGCTATAATTTTTAACTGTTGATACATTTAAAATACTTTTGATCTCAATCAAAATGTAGATGCGTTGTCGTCATCACTGAGCCTCGAATACCCCGTTTCCAGTAAAAGAGGTCTCTGGCACTCTACACATTATTTAAGTGGCACAGCAGCATTTAGCTGATATTTTACGCTGATATTTTGTGAGAGCATAATCCTTCCCCGGTTCAGCCCACCCGTTCTAGTTACAACCATAAAATAGCTGCAGCATGGTTTCACTGGGTTCTAGTTAATATGTTCGTTTTTGAGCATAATCGATATCGTCCTCTTTATGGTTATAAAGTTGGCTACTAGATTTGAAAGATGGTGATTGTAGAGGACCAGTGACCCTTTTTACTGGTACCGAAGACATCTTAATACTTAGGGGTGATAACACATCTGCATTTAGATTCTTAAACAAGGACAGATGTAGATGTCAATAGACCACAACATCTACTTATCGTCAGGTGGTTATTTTATGGATTATATGCTCTCTTCTCATCCTTTTTCTAAAAATTAAGATCTAACGTAAGCAAAATGATTATACCGCCACCTGGCGGAAGTCAGGGCAATTGAACTTTCAGGCATTTTTCATTGTCGCCTCTTACATCACTAAAAAGGTGTGATAGATTTTCTTAATCATTACAAAAGGCATAACAATATAAAAATTATAATTAAATGTTAAATAACTAAAAGCTTACTTCTCGGAGCCGTAGTAGCTGGGCTGTCCTACATTTACTAACACCTGAACAACCCGACTCCTACTAACGTAACCCGTAATTAAATTTACCTTTAAATATTATTAAACATGTAAAGAATTATAGGTATTGAACCTATAATTCTTTATTTATTTTGCAAAAAGGTTTTTATTTCACCCTGCAGAAAGCACGAATAGAATATCTGCTCACATGGCAATGTTATCTAAGTACGTTAATGTGGTGATCTAAGCTGCCTGTTGTTTGCACAATATTATCTGATAAGTGCCATCGGAATGAAGAAGATATGGCAGAAAACACAACACAGAAGCAATTCAACATTTGCCACACACCGGTCTTCATGTAGTACAGGAAGCAGTTCATGTGCGAGACAATTTAAAAAAATATTTTCGTCACGTACCGGCTCGGTTAAGTGGCAGTGGGCAAACCTTACAAGAAGAATCCAAAGAAATTCCATATAACTCTAACAAAGTCTCATTATTTATCAAATGATATCTTTTATTAGATAAATTTATTGAAAATGTAAGTATGTTGTGTATATGAAGTGAGTGAATATGATTTATTTCAAAATATGAGTGTGATGAAATTAAGGTGTGTGTACATAATGTTTGATTTTTGTTTAAGTGCTGTGTGTAAATTGTGACTATGTGTATTATAATATATAGGGTTAGAATATACTTTATTCTTATTACGGTAGTTAAAAAGAAAAGGAAAGACGCGAAAATATCTAACCTAAAGCCTAATACTATTCACCCCTCTTACAGCTAGATGTTTATGTTAATCATTCGGTCTTCCGTAGATTTTCTAGATCTGTTTCATTATTTATTCTAATTTGAGAAGTATTTTATTTCCGGCGTAAATATACTATGCATCTAGATATCCAGTAGAATAAATATTTATGATTTTTTGGAATATTTTGGCCTGATAGAAAAGTTTTTGAGTATTTTGTGTTAACGTCTCCGTGATGTTACATGCGAAGTAGAAATTCTCATTTTTTGGTTTTGTTTTATTAAATATTTTTGCTACATGTAACATATTTTCTTTAATAATGACTGAATTAAATTCCACTATTATCGGTTTTGGCGTCTTCTTAGAATTAGTTTTATACACGTCTTTTATGCCTGAATCCAGACAAATTTAAACACCCCTAATTTTTAACATTGCTACATAAATTTTATTCTGTTTCTTCATTGCTTTTAGACATGTTTCTATTTTCTATTCCTGAAAATCTAGACTTCTTTTCCATATTTTCTATTTTCTCATGTAGTTGTATAATATATCTATCCTGCTTTTTCTATGTTTCTTGAACCGTGTCTATCCAAAACTCATCATACTTGCATGACGTATTATCAACGCACTTTTTTAATTTATTAATCTGCTCTTTTATACTAGAAACTATAGTTTGTAAATCTTTAAAAGGCTTTACTTGTTTATTCGTATAAACTGAAAACATTTCACTCATATAAGACATAATCTTAGGATTTAACGTAAGCGATGGAATATCAGGCGCAGTTACACAGTGAAGTTTTGTGGTCCGATCCATCGCGTCGATTGCGCGCGTCTGAGAAGTATCATCAGAGCTCATAGGCACGGACGAAGAAGGCGGCGGTGTACGGTTGATTGGCATTGTATAACAATTTTTAAAATAAAAGACGCCTCATCGTTTAATAACCAGAACAATATGAGTTGTAAAGTGTGATTGCAATTGAATTGCGATCTCGTAACCGTAATGCAAGCTTACAAATAAAAATGTAAGGCCGTCCAGGGGAATTTCTGTCAGCCATCTCTTCCATCTCTGCACAGGGAGGACGACTCACTGGCCCACACCGCAAAGGAGAAAGCCGATCTTCTAGGCTCTTTCTTTGCGTCTAACTCGACTCTCGATGACAGGGGGAGTACGCCGCCGACCATCCCGCGGTGTGAGTGCTCCATGCCGGAAGTACAGTTCACTCAGCGCTCGGTTCGCAAAGCACTCCTCTCCCTGGACATCCACAAGTCGAGTGGGCCTGACGTAATCCCCCCAATTGTGCTGAGGACGTGTGCTCCAGAGTTGGCACCGGTTTTAACGCGTTTTTTCCGGTACTCCTACTCCCTAGGCGTAGTCCCAAAATCATGGAAGACGGCTTTCGTCCACCCGATCCCTAAAAAAGGCGACCGCTCAGACCCGTCCAACTACCGGCCTATCGCCATCACCTCCTTGTTCTCCAAAACAATGGAGTCCATTGTAAACTGCCAGCTCATGAGGTACCTTGAGGATCACCAGCTGATTAGTGACCGCCAATACGGTTTTCGCCGTGGTAGGTCAGCTGGTGATCTTCTGGTCTACCTAACTCACAGATGGGCGGAGGCAGTAGAGTCCAAGGGGGAGGCATTGGCCGTTAGTTTAGACATTGCGAAGGCCTTCGATCGGGTTTGGCACAAAGCGCTTCTTTCGAAGCTCCCTTCCTATGGGCTTCCCGAGAAATTGTGCGATTGGATCACCAGTTTTCTTGCAGATCGGAGCATCAAGGTCGTTGTAGACGGTGCAAGCTCCGATTGCAAGCCTATTAATGCTGGTGTTCCACAGGGCTGCGTGCTATCGCCAACGCTGTTTCTTCTGCATATCAATGATATGTTGCAGACCCGTAACATTCATTGCTATGCAGATGACAGCACTGGTGATGCTCTTTACACCGGCCGAGCCAATATTTCTCGGGAAAACGTCTCCGAGTGCCGGGACAAACTTGTGTCTGAAGTCGAGTCTCTGCTGGACAGAGTCTCGGATTGGGGGGCGACTAAATCTAGTCCAGTTTAACCCCCAGAAGACACAAGTTTGCGCGTTAACCGCTAAAAAGAACCCCTTTGTCGTATCCCCTCAGTTTCAAGGCACTCCCCTTGTTGCCTCAGCCAGTATCGGAATCCTCGGCGTCGACATATCGAGTGACGTGCAGTTTCGTGGTCACTTGGAAGGGAAGGCCAAATTGGCCTCTAAAAAGCTTGGCGTGCTCAGCAGAGCGGGACAGTATTTCATGCCGGCACACCGCCTGCAACTTTACAAGGCGCATGTTCGGCCGCACATGGAATACTGTTCCCATCTCTGGGCTGGGGCTCCCCAGTGCCAGCTCCTTCCACTTGACCACATCCAGCGCAGAGCGGCTCGAATCATCGACGACCGAGTGCTTTCCGATCGGCTCGATTCTCTGGCACTGCGAAGAGATGTTGCATCCCTTTGCATTTTCTTTCGCATATACCATGGAGAGTGCTCTGAGGAATTGTTCGGATTAATCCCAGCCGCCAAATTTCGTGAACGCACTACGCGGCAAACGTCCCGATACCATCCACACCATCTGGATGCTTGGCGGTCCACCACTGTACGTTTCAAAAGGAGTTTTCTTCCGCGTACAACCTCTCTGTGGAATAATTTACCACCAGCGATTTTTCCGGACCGATACGACCTGGGGACCTTCAAGAAAAGAGCTTACTCCTTTCTAAAGGGCCGGCAACGCATCTGCAATTCCCCTGGTGTTGCAGTTGATCATGGGCGGCGGTAGTCACTTAACATCAGGTGAGCCACATGCTCGTTTGCCCCCTCTTCTATAAAAAAAAAAAAAAAAAAACCGTCTCCCTTTTTTATCGTGTTGCAAAGCTGTAAGACACTATTCCAAAACGCGGACTAAATATGGTACTGGAGTTAGTACCAGGTTTAAACCACAACTAAATAAAACGTTATTCCAAAACGAAGATTATCTCTGGTTCTAGGACTATCTATGGTACTAAAGTTAAACTTCCGAGACCCCTAGTTTAACTATGGTACCAACCTCAAATTCAGCACTTCTTTATTTGACGTTAGCGACCGTTGTTTTCATTTCGTGTTTTTAATCGTTAAAAATGGATATAAACATGATTGACTTGATGGATTTAGAAGATTTGGACATGCTAGAGACCACTCGGCGACCTGATACACATCGTCAACGTGTGAATCCTTTTGAATTGAGTGACGAAAATTTTAGGTATAAGTATAGGTTCTCACAACGTTTCGGTAAAAAAATTGTGGATCTTTTACGTGAGGATTTAGTGCACGACTCTCGAGGATGCCCACTGAGTCCTGAAATCCAAGTAGTTTGTGCATTACGCAACTGGGCTCGCCATGAAGTAAGTGCTATTTAATAATCTTGGTCAATGTATCCAACATAACGCTAGATAAAAAAGCCAAAAAAATACATATTATTGTTTTATTCGTAGATTCAAGACGATACAGGTGATTTACATGGTGTGTCTCAACCAATAGTCAGTAGGACATGTAAAAAAAGTAGCGGAAATTTTGTCACGAATGTCCCGAGAATTTATTAAAATGCCTACCTCTTTAAATGAACAACAGGAAACTATTAGGAAATTCCGCAGTATTTCTAATTTTCCTTCAGTAATTGGCGCAATTGACTGTACTCACATAAGAATAAAGAAAGTAAATGCTAATGGGGTTCAGTTATATATTAATAGAAAAAGATTTTCTTCACTTAATGTACAGGTAATGAACAAATATTTTAAATAAGCTGTGACTGTCTCTAAATTACTTTACTTTACCAAAATAGAAAGTAATTTGTTTGACTATCTTATGGCAAAAAAATGTAGATTAAAATAGTAATATGATCTGTTACAATTTTGGTGCACAATAAAATATAACCAATCTATATCAGTAAAACAAAGGACTAATGAGCTCTCACTTTTCAGGTGGTTTGTGATGCTAACCTGAAAATCATGGACAATGTTACTAGGTGGCGTGGCAGCGTACATGACTCTAGAATATTCCGAGAATGTAGACTAAAACAGAGGTTTGAGGCTGGTGCATTCTCTAGAATATTACTTGGTGACAGTGGCTATCCTTGTACTCCATACCTATTTACACCACTGCTGAACCCAACAACACCACAAGAAGAAAGATATAATAGGAGTCATATCCGTACCAGGAACACAGTGTAAAGATGTTTTGGTTTATGGAAGCAAAGGTTTTGTTGCCTATTAAGAGGTATGTTTGGGGACATTGAAACAGCAAAAAAAAAAACAATTGTAGCATGTGCTGTACTACACAATATTGCCATAGACATGAGAGAAGATGTATTTTCTGGTGAGGTAGATAGCACTGAACAATATTCATCTGAACCTATAGTACAAAGATATATTCCACCATCAATAAGGGGAAATATTAGGAGAAGACAGTTTATTGAAAATCATTTTCAGTAGGTAAACATTTTTTTTACAATTTTTATATAACAATTCATAATTAAAATTTATAATTTATTATTAAATTTATAAAATTATTACAATTTTTCAATTGTCAAAGGCTATATGTACATTTAATTTATTTCATTTTGTAATTTAGGGGCCAAGTTTCATTGAATAAAAATAATGTAATAAAGAGGTCAATAAATATATAAGACAATTACAATAATTATTATATTTTGATTTCAGACATAATACTCATTTAAAAAGTAAAATCTTTCCGCTGAGCCGTTGTCAGCTGTCAAATAATAACAACTATATATTACAATTTTCACCAATATGGAATAAATCACGGGAAGTACTGTGATAATATTTAATTTATTGAGCAAAATGCTTTTATTTAAGCCATAATGATTGTGTTTCAGGGAAAGATGTGGGGTACAGCATATTCCACATCAATATGAAGCTATGTTATATAGAATTTTAAGTGCTGTAGAGATCTGTTTAGATTTTTTTAATGAATATTGTCGCTCTGCTACATTCACAGTTGGATTTCCTTTCCAGAGGTGCAAGGGTTCACGGGAAGTAGGACTGTGTGATAATTAAGTAATTAGGTTTAGTTTATTATGCCAATGTTATGTTAATAAAATAAACATTGTTTATAATTATTTATTTTAATTATTATTGAAAGATGTACAGATATTTGCAGCAATAAGTACCTGAAAAGAATAATTTCATATATCATAATATTTACAAAAATGTATCTGACATAGTCTTGAATATTTAGTTTTTTTTTTATAGGATGATGGTAACAAACGAGCACACAGTTCACCTGATGGTAAGTAGTTGCTGGCACATAGACATCTACATCTATCCTCGACTATGAATCAAAATGAAGATGCGTTGTCACCTGTGAGGGCTAAAATGGCATTCCTCGTTTCCAGTAAAAGGGGTCTCATACAAAATTTGTCAATAAAAGTTTAATGGCCAAATACTCGAAAGCTTCTCAATTTTAAGATATTGTTAAGTCTTATGGTGTTACATTCACTTTGACTTAGTGATAGAGATAGCATGAGACTTAACTGCATCTTAAAATTGAGTAGTGTTAAAGTATTTGGGCATAAATGTTTTACTAAAGAAAAATTATATAAAAAGGGTTATTATAATATCAAAGAATACAGAAATGAAAATAACCCCTGCAACTGAGGTGATCGCTGCTATGCCGTTTCTATTAAAATTAATTTAAAAATTGTAAACCAAAATTTGTAAAGTGAAATATGTTTAAAAGAAAAGTCCCGGTGGGTTTCTTGCTGGTTCTTCTCAGAACAGAGGTATTTTCCAAACCAGTGGTGAATAAAAAATGTCTTTTGAATAAATGTTATGTAATAATCCATATTGAATAAAAATCATTCTATTCTATTACATTCTGGTTCTATACACTCACTCACTCACAATTTCTAAGTGTTTGGAGCAATTTAGGCGCGCCGGAACAAATATGCAGATTATTAAGCGGCTCGTACTTTCCATTCATTCTCAAGCTGCCTCTAATACTTCCAAGTCAAATTGTGATTCAGAACTACAGGAGCAAAATTTCCTTAAACTCGTAAAATTCAAAGTATGCTAAAGTCCGGAGTAGTCGAACAGGCGGAGCCGGATGCCAGTTTCCTTTCCACATTCTTTTTGGTGCTAAAACCAGACTGCAGCTAACGTCCAATATGCAATTTGAAACAACTGAACAGGTTCATCAAAACGAAACCCTTTAGATTGTTCCGCCGCTTTCGAGTACCCACCTTCCTGCAGTATCAGAATTGGATGGCAAAATTAGACCTAAACTTTACCCTATTTTCACGTTCCGATTGCCCGGCGTCATCGAAGATATTTGAGACTAAATTATCAAATCCATTCAAACCAGCACCAACTGGTCCAGGTGGCCTGCTTACCGTTTGGCCTTTCACTCAGTAACAAAGTGGGTAGCAGATTTTCTCAGGAATCGGGGCATCAGATGCGTAGTTTATTTGGACGATTTTCTATTGGCAAGCCAGTCGATGTAACAACTATAAGAAGATATATCATAAACAATAAAGATCATGCAGTTACTAGGTTGGACAATAAATTTCGAAAAGTTCGTGTTGATTCCGACACAGTGCCTCGAGTTTCTCGGCATAACATGGGACACAAAACTCAATTCGAAGTCCTTATCGGAGAAAAGTGCTTAACGCTCCGCAACGCTCTTCAGCAACAGCTCTTAAAAGGCAAGTGGTCCCTCCCTCATACAGTATGGGGAGACTCAATTTTGCCACTTACGTAACCCAGAGAGGTCTACTTCACTGTCGAACACTGCAATACTTCAGTCGACAGTTGTCAAAGGACCATCCTTACCGCCAAGTGAGTATTCCACTACCAGTTCAATCCGAGATGGAGTGGAGGCTACAAACTGTAGGTCAATCTGTACTGATACATATGAATGCAGTAGTAACTCACCTCCTAATAACCGATGCTTCAGATATCGGCTGGGGACGGGGGAGTTCTGGGGGACCTTCATGAACCGGCAACTAACCTGGCACGCAAACAGAAATGTTTGCAGTTCTTGCAGCGATATCACACGAACGAAATCTGCTACAGAACTCTCAAGTGCTTCTTTAGACGGACAATCGAACGGCGGTGTCTTATATAAACAACGAAGGCGGAAGCACGTCCCAAAAGCTTCTCAAGCAAACTCTACAACTCCTTGCACTTCTAGAAAAATTCAATATACACCTTCAGGCCCAGTACTTTCCAGGCAGATTCAATGTCGTAGTTGACGCTTTATCACGCCAAAAGGCTTGCCCCGAGTGGCCTCATAATAGCGGCGACATCCAAAATATTTCGAGTGTGGGGCACACCGGAGATAGACCTATTTGCGTCAAGTACTGCTCACGTGACCCTGAAGTATATTTCAGTGAATATTCAGGACAAGCAAGCAAAACATCACAACGCATTTTGTCACCAGTGGCACTACAAACTAGCGTGGTTATTCCCACCACCCAATATTATTCCCAGAGTTCTAAACCACTTACAGCAAGCCAGCGGAATATATATATTAATTGCCCCGAAATGGAACAAAATGTTTTAGCAAGCAGATATTCAACGCCGAGCTCTACACCCCCCATATCGAATTTCAGAACTAGTCCACACTCTAGTAGATACGTGAACAGGCATACACCCACCACAGATTCAAGACTTGCTCTTGGAAGCATGGCTGATTTTGGGTGGCAAGATATGTTAACAGAATGAACGGATAAAGAACCAGAACTTGTTAATATCAAGTTGGCGAAGCTCTGCGATCAACACAAATAAAACAGCATGGAATAGATGGAAAAAGTGGTGCGAGTCTACTTCGGTTAAATATAAATATCCTAAGCCAGAATAAGCAGCACGTTATCTAGCACATTTACATTGAGATATAGTTCTTGCTTACAGAACAATTTTAGTACATAAATCTGTGATTTCAACATTCTCACTTAACTTCAAAAGTAGATTTATATTCAAATTTTTTTTATAAAACACACGTTAAAAGCAATATCTATGGCCCGTACTAAACCAGTAAAGTCACCAATTTGGAATCCTAAGTTTTTTATGCAGCATATAAGTAAATATAATTTTAATGAAAACAATCTGTATGAAGTATCTAGGCATACAGCTACATTATTACTTTTGGCTTCTAGTCGGAGAGTTCATGACCTCACTTTGTTGGATATTGACAATAACAGTTTAATAGACGAACAACGTAGCATAATCTTATGGCCAGCCTTTGGTTCCAATACGGACAGCATTAATCATAGACAGTCTGGTGTTGGAGGCTTAAAGAACATACTGATAAAAAATTGAATATTATTTTCTGGATAAGACAATTATTAAAGATATCTAAAAATCGCAGAAAGGCGTAATCATTTATTTATTACAGCTAGAGGTGACGCTAAGACAGCATCCCGTACTGTAATTGCTGGGTGGGTAAAATCGCTTTTGAGAGAGGCGGGTATCAAAACTACTCCTGGTTCAGTAAGATCAGCAGTAACCTCTTTAAATTGGTTAGAAAAATTTTCAATATATAAAATCCTTGCGAGGGGTAATTGGAAAACTGTGCACACATTTCAAAATTACTATAAAAAGAAGTAAAGGAAATGGCGGAAAATAATTCTGTATCGTTATCAATTTTTTTTGATGCCATTAATTGATAGAGCAATATTTGCTATATTAGTTTGATATATTATTGTAAATAACAAAAGCAAAACTTATTGCCATGATCGCCAGTTATAATCAAATAATGCAATTGTAGTGTAATATATAATGTTGGTAAGGGCTACCTGGTGCATCCTGAGTGCCATGGTGCTCATCACTACTTAAATAATTAAGCAAAAAAAGTGGTGGGGTGCCCCCTCCATGCAGGTAAGGTAGCCGGAAGTGCTGACTTTAGGCGGAAAGACAAGTGCTTGACTCAAGATGGATTCCAGATATTGATTAAAAAATAATAGGTAAGTTTTATTTAATGGTAAAACTTTCTATTATAGCCTACACATCATATTTTTTGAGAAATAAGCTTCAAAATGGCCAGGCAAAGATAATGGCATTTCCTCTACTTTGCCTAGGCGAAAATAAATAACACAGATAGAAATGTGTTTCCAAATAAACAGCTGCCGCTCCTATATAGTATTGGTTTATTATTCCTACTTATCAATGTCATAAAGTGTAAAACTTTCAATTTTTCTATTTGGGAAATCTATCAGGGTGGTCAGCTTGAAACCATAGGAAAATATACAACAAATTATATGTTAAAAATTAAAAATTTGGTTATTATTTGGTTTTAAAGTACCTAGGAAACAATTTGTGCTTAGGTACTCACTAAAATAATAAAATATTTGTGCTTACTAAATATTAATAATTAAATAAATATAGTTTATAGGTAACCTTCTATTTCAATTAAGTTTATTTTACTTAGTTTATAATAGTTTGCCAACTTTGGCATAGTTGTAGACTAAATCAACGTGATAAGGAGGGTAGTAGGGACATAAATAGCAAAATTATACTTAAAACAATCGAAAATTACGCTCTATACTAAAGTTTCGGTGATCAAGAAAAATAAATATTATCTTCATCCTGCATTAAAATGCTAATTCCAGATTGGTTTTATGCTTCACGCGATGATATTATTTTAGATTTTATGAGATCAACCGTCATATTCGGCAGAATAATTCACCTACTGATGACGATTTGTATGTTTATTTTTGTTTTGATCACTGTTATTTTTCTTGTTTCGTGGCATCTTCTACCTCTGTAATAATTAAGGGTAAGTTTGAGACTATTTAGTACGTCAGTTCGAGAATGTAGGTAGGTATACATACATATTTACAAATAGATGACGGTCAAACGCAAGTCTATTAACAAACGCACTTATAAACGAATTATCTTATTACTTGTATGTGTTAAACCTTTTTGGACCACGTGTTTTCTGAAATATATTAATACTGCAAACTCTAAGATGATAAAAACTGTGAAAATGGTTTTTATAGTGATTTTTATTATTTTATTTAATGATTAATTATTTTTATAATTTGATTGTTAATAATTAAATAGTTAAGAATTGTTCCATTGTAAAAAAAATAAAAACGACATTGGAGGTAATCTTATAAATACTCCGAATTCTAAGAAATTTGGGGCAGTACGTGGTTCATAATCATAATTATAAATCATTTATTTGCAAGAAATATGGTTAGTACACAAGATGTTAAAGTAACTTATAGCACAGGACATATTTCACCCTCATTACGGGCATGCAAAATCATAGTAAATTTACAATAATTATTTGAATAAAATTACAATTATAAGAACTATTTGAATAACAATTTATAAGAACTATTTTAATTGTAATTATAAAAATCTTTTAAATTTCAGTTATTTGAATTACATGATTACAATTATATAAATTATTGAAATATTATAATAGACTAAGTCACAAGAAATAAAAAGAAAGATCTGATATCTTAGTGGGCACCAAATCGGCAAGTGCTATTATTCAAAAAGTCTTTAATAGTATAGAAACTCTCCTGAATTAACCATTTTCGCAAGGCACAACAGAACATTTTATATGGTAGGTCAGTCATTCCTCTGGGCAAAGACTTATATATTAGAGGTGTTATATAAGCACAGTTTTTTTTAAACAGTTCTAGCTTAGGCGCAGGTATTGTCGTTAGCGGTAAAGAGATGACTGTGGTATTTAACAAATTTAGCTGTTTCTTATATGTATATGCAGGGAACAGTTAGTAGATTATGTGATTTAAAGGTCGGTTTACATGATTCCGACCTATCCATGCCGTACAGTGTCCTAATGCATTTACAGGGTTGTTCTTCGTATTAGCAAGTTAAGTATATTTCTACTATATCTTATTGAATAAAACTATTATTTACGGATTTTATGGCGTTTAATTACTTTAATTTATTTTTATTATTATCCCGACGTTTCGGGTGCTTTACAGCGCCCATGGTCACGGGGGGGACTAAGATGTTTGACGTCCCAATGTCATAGTTAGTCCGGCTACCTTCAGTTTTTTTTAATATTAATTTTTGGTCCGATTTACGCAAAACGAGCTTATAGTATCATGAAGTCTTGCAGTGGTATGCTTGGGTTTGGGTTTAATTTTGTTAATTATAGGATCCCAAGCAGATGGTAGCACCCAACCATCTTCTCTATTGAAATTTGGATGTTTTTTAATTTCAATAGCCTCGCGTATCATCCTTGGTAGGAATCGGTGTTCTTTTGCGAGAATTTGTGGTTTATCAAATCTAATGTAATGGTGGGGACGATCTTGAACATGTTCGCAGACTGCAGACTTCCCGGAGCGTCGGTGATTCACATCAGCTATATGTTCCTTCACGCGGGTTTTTATAGATCTCTTTGTTTGACCTATGTAAGAGAGACCACATTCACAATCTAGCTTGTACACACCTGCATCTTGTAGAGGAATATTACATTTGATGGATGGTAAAAATTGACTAATCTTCTTCAGCGGCTTGTAGTATGTCTTAATGGACGCTCGCTTCAAGATGTAGCCAATCTTGTCCGTGACTCCTCTAACATATGGTAGTAGAGCAGGCGCGCGCTCGACTGTGGCCGGCTTCACTCGTTCACTGTGACGTAGGCGCGGGACCCGAAGCTTGTTGTCTTGCAAGACTTTACTTACTTGCTTGACGTGCTGAAGCTCCGCGGCCAGATGTTTTCTGTCACAGATCCCTCGTGCTCTCTGAAACAAAGATTTACCCACGGTAGCTAACTGATGTAGGATGATGGTGAGATTCACCATTTAAATATCGGTTGGTATGGGTCTTTTTCCTATACACAGTGTGACCAATAGTGTTATCAGGATTTCGGATGACTAAAACATCTAGGAAAGCTAAAGAATTATTTGCCTCTAACTCCATTGTGAATTGTATTTTAGAGTTTATGGAGTTAAGGTGGTCTAAAAAATGCAGTTACTTTGTCAGATGGTAAAAGTGTGAAAGTGTCGTCTACGTACCGCTTGTAGAACCTTGGATTTACAGGAGCAGTAAGAAGGGCTTTCTCCTCAAAGTCCTCCATGAATATGTCGGCGACTATGGGAGACACAGGTGAGCCCATCGCCACACCATCTACTTGCTTGTAGAACTCCTCCTTCCACAATAGATAGCCAGATGTGAGGCAATGTTCAAGTAGTATTGCATATTCTTGAGGCATGTTATTTTCTTCTAGCTTCCTAGTTACAATTGAGATGCAGTCCACAATAGGTAGGCATGTAAATAGTGACTGAACATCAAAACTGACCATAGTTTCATTGTTAGCGAGATGTAGGTCTTTTATCTCACTCACAAAATGGTATGAATCCTTTGTGTGTGCTCTGGTATGTCCTCTTAGTGGTGATAGTATTTTTTGCTAAGTATTGTGCCAGCTTATAAGTTGGTGAATCGATCTGGCTCACTATGGGACGTAGTGGAGCGTTTGGTTTGGTTTGTGTTTGAGTCTGCGAACATGTTCAAGATCGTCCCCACCGTTACATTAGATTTGATAAACCACAAATTCTCGCAAAAGAACACCGATTCCTACCAAGGATGATACGCGAGGCTATTGAAATTAAAAAACATCCAAATTTCAATAGAGAAGATGGTTGGGTGCTACCATCTGCTTGGGATCCTATAATTAACAAAATTAAACCCAAACCCAAGCATACCACTGCAAGACTTCATGATACTATAAGCTCGTTTTGCGTAAATCAGACCAAAAATTAATATTAAAAAACTGAAGGTAGCCGGACTAACTATGACATTGGGACGTCAAACATCTCAGTCCCCCCCGTGACCATGGGCGCTGTAAAGCACCCGAAACGTCGGGATAATAATAAAAATAAATTAAAGTAATTAAACGCGATAAAATCCGTAAATAATAGTTTTATTCAATGTGTAGTGTTCGCGTAAATTTAAGAAATCACTATATCTTATATTATTGTACTTTTTCTTATTTTTGCTTATTGTGTCTTTTGTTAAAATTTTGTTAAAATATGTGTGAAGTTATTTTCTTTAAATATATCATTTTAAATTGGCTAATTCAAATTCTTTTCATAATTTGTCCCTTGTTAGGAGGAAGATTTTAACAGCTCCGTTTAGCTAAATAGGAGAATTTAAGCTTATTACTAAACCGATCTTTTTTTCTAGCTAATTTCTTTGTTTTAATTTTCCATGAAAATATCGTCAGAAGTGGGATCGCCCGTGCTTTTTGTTAATCGTTTTATTTTAAATATTTCAAGGAAAACTATTTCAATATGTATGTGGAGTTGGTAAAAGGGCTGTTGGAAACCATCCAAAATGCAATGGTTTTAAATAAGCTGCCCGACGTTGTAGCGGTACCAATTTTCGACCCGGACAAAAGCAACGACGGAGCAGTTGCCTGGTGCGAAAACTTCAACAAGTTGGGAGGAGAGTTAAAATGGAGCAGCTTTGAGAAGGTTGCTAAAACCGGTAAGGCCCTTCTGGGCTCTGCATTATCCTGGTTTGACACGAATTCAAAAAAGATATTATGTCTGTTTACCCGCAAAGGAAAAATCTTATGGAGAAACAACGCTGTGTTATACATGCCGGATTCCGCAGATTATTTTGATGGTTATGATAGGGAGAAATTAAGATTATTAAAATAAACTAAAATGTCTTGCTGAGGGCCAACTTATAGAGCTTGTTTTCGGTGGAATAAGTGACGAAAATGTAGAGATGGCTAGTTTAAATAGTTATGTGGTGTCGATAGCCGATCTCATTTCTTTACTTTCAACTTGCACAAAATTGCCAAAAACTAGGTCATTTGAACAATGATCGCGTAGCAGCAATTCACCAGGTCCTAGTAAGTTGTAAACATTTTAAATATAATTTTGATTCCATATCATAATAAAAATCAAAATAACTAACTCACAATCAAAACACGCTGTTGATAACCGGGTTAAAAGTACTCAATCTCCTAAAAATTCTGTAAAATGTGATATGAACTAGCACACAGTCCACCTGATGGTAAGTGGTTGCTGCGGCCCATAGACATCTACATATATCCTCGATTACAAATCAAAATGCAATTATTCTTGAAAAAAAATATTCAAGCAACAAAACAGGAGCGATAATCAGTCTACGGCCAAGTTGCCGCCAAAACCTCTCTTAGTGTTCCTATGTAGATCGTTACATATAGACAAATAAACATTGTTTTTGTGATAATGTAAATATTCTATATTGCTTGTCGCTACTCTCTAGTATTTTACTACCGATTATTTTTTTATAGAATAAGGGTGAAAATTAAACACAATGTCCACCTGATGGTAAATAGATGCTATGGCCCATAGATATCTACATTTATCCTCGATTAATAATCAAAATGCATATACGTTGTTACCTCTGGGGACTAGGATGGAATGCCTCGTTTCGTTAACGTAGCATTCAAAACAAACAATTCTCTTAGGAATATCTGTAATAATAAAGATAAGTTTGATATTAATCAAAAATTGGGTGTTTATAAACTTGTTTGTGAAATATTGCATATTATGTACTAGATGCAAATAAATACTACGCAACAAATAAAATAAAAGAATACTTAAAACTTTATCACTTCATAGCTCGCGATGCCTTTCGGTTAAAGCTACAGCAGCACACCGTGAAATGGAAATAAAGACGTTGAACACCGCGCACGTGACATGACGCACATTTAAAGTTCGTTTTGACAAACATACAAAACAAAGTGACCTCTCTGGTTACGTATTATATTATCTATGTCTCGGGGAAAGAACGTTAATTACATATTACAGTACAGCTATCTCGGTTACACAAAAGTTAAAACAATCAGATCAGTGACAAACAGCAGCGTCAAAATTGCGAGATGTCTGATACTATTTTCAATCGCCGAAGTTTAAAAAATGAAGGCCAAAACACAATCGCTTTAAAAAATGCTTTCATTGCCGCTCCCTGATACACTCTATTGAATACAGAGATTTGTGTCAAAGTGCATATTGCATTATTGACACAAAAGACGTCAGCATATCACAAACAACTAGAACTATTTCAATCATAACACAACCTGGCTCCGTCTATTAATTTCGCTTTATATGACGTATAATAAGCTTTTTCAAATAGCTTAAACTTTTATAGATTCTCATCTTTTTCTAATACTTAGAACCATGGTAGCTCCGATTTAAAACGCCAAAAGTATCGCATTACCTTGGCAACATGTATTCGATCCCCGCCGTCATCAATAATATGTGTTAATTGCAATTCAAGTGTTAATTTTCCTAATGCTCAGCGTAGAATATAAGAATGTGAAGAAAACTACATAGCTGAGTGATAAAAATATTTTTTATATTTCTCAGATATTTGTAGGTTTTGTGAAAGTATTTTCTTTCATCGCCGAGCACGTTGTCAATCAGAACTTAAAATTACAATTAACAATATCGTTATTGCCAACGGAAATCAAACGCTGTTGCTAACGTATTTTTTTATGGAGTAATGGTAAAAAACGAGCACACAGTTCACCTGAGTGTAATTGTATGTTGTGGGCCATGGACAGCTATATTTATCATCGATTAAGAATCAAAAGGTAGATGCGTTGTCACTCCAAATCACGGAACAAGTGTTAGTATGGCCTAGTACTAATTATTCAAAGCTTCGATTTTGTGTGAAAAACACCTCTGCGATACAGAAAAAAAATCCTAATACAGAAGTAACGAATTACTATAGGACGAAATTAATAAATATTTTTGAGATATTTAGCGATATTGAAATAATACTAGTTTTTACGGAATTTATCGCGTATATTTAACTTTTTAAATACCCGACGTTTCGAACGCTTTACAGCACTCATGGTCACGGGCGGGACTGAGATGTTCAACGTCTCAGATCATATAAACAACAGGAGATATGGCAAGGAGGCGTGGCACTTGCGAACGCATCTGGCCGCAAAGCGGCCTGATGCGTTTCGGTAATTAGTCGAATGTCAACTTGTGACGTCTTCACTGCTCGTGATTTTTGACAAAATGCCGCGTTGTTCAGTGATTGTTTGCAAAAATAACAGCTGTATTGTGAATTACATGAAAGATGGCATCTCATTTCACACGTAAGTACTAAAATATTAATGTTTTTCTTATTCAATTTATTAAAACATTACTTCGTGGTACTAGAAATACGATGAAAAACCAAATCAAATGTTTTCATTAGGAACAAAAACCATTGCTTGCTTAATACAAATCGACCTGTGAATCAGCTGGTCTAATAGCGCAATGGATAAGTGTTTTTTCTGATACTCTCACTCACACGATAGTTTCGTGAAGCAGCCGCTGCCGGCTTTTGTGAGTGAATGATAGCGACAGATGTTTTTGTGTGAATAAGTTTTGTACGGTGCATGGTAAATGCACGCTGTGTATGATGAGATAAGGTTTATAATTGGTTGTGTAGTATGTTCTGATTTATAAAATGCGAGTGTGTGCGCGATTGTGTATCTATTGCTTTTACTGATGTGCATATGTAGTAGTTGGCGCGTGGTAGGGGCCAACTGGAGACACCGGGTTCCGATACATTTTCAACTACTGAGCATATCTCCTTATTTCTTATATCTATGCTCAACGTCCATATGTCATAGTTAACCGCGGTTACCATAGATTAAAATTTAACTTTTGTTCCGATCTATGCAGTATGAACTTATGGTATCTTGAATTCTTGCAGTTGTATGCTTGGGTTGGGATTTAATTTTATTTATTATAGGATCCCAAGCAGATAGTAGCACCCAGCCATCTTCTCTATTGAAATTAGGATGTTTTTTGATTTCAATAGCCTCGCGAATCATCCTTGGAAGGAATCGGTGTTCTTTAGCGAGGATTTGAGGTCTATCAAATCTGATGTAGTGACGGGGGCGATCCTGTACGTGTTCACAGACTGCAAACTTCCCGGAGCGTCGATTCTTCACATCAGCTATATGTTCTTTAATGCGGGTTTTTATTGATCTTTTAGTTTGTCCTATGTAGGAGAGACCACATTCACAATCAAGCTTGTACACTCCTGCATCTTGCAGAGGGACGTTACACTTGACTGATGGTAAAAACTGACCAATCTTCTTCAGCGGCTTGAAGTATGTTTTGATGGAAGCGCGCTTCAAGATGTAGCCAATCTTGTCAGTGACTCCTCTAACATATGGCAGTACAGCAGGTACATGCTCGGCTGTGGCCGGCTTCACTCGTTCACTGTGACGTAGGCGCGGGACTCGAAGCTCGTTGTCATGCAAAACTTGCTTGACATGGTGGAGCTCTGCAGCCAGGTGTTTACTGTGACAGATCCCTCGTGCTCTCTGAAACAAAGATTTACCCATGGTAGCTAACTGTGAAGGATGTTGATGAGAATCACCGTTTAAGTGTCTATCTGTATGGGTCTTTTTTCTATACATAGTATGGCTCAAGGTGTTATCAGGATTCCGAATTACTAACACATCTAGAAAAGCTAAGGAATTGTTTGCCTCTAACTCCATTGTGAACTGAATTTTAGAATTTATAGAGTTAAGATGGTCTAAAAATGCAGTTATTTTATCTAAAGGTAGAATTGTGAAAGTGTCGTCTACGTACCGCTTGTAGAATCTTGGATTTATGGGAGAACTAAGCAGGGCTTTCTCCTCAAAGTCTTCCATGAATATGTCAGGGACAATGGGAGATACAGGTGAGCCCATCGCCACACCATCTACTTGCTTATAGAACTCCTCCTTCCGCAATAGGTAGCCAGATGTAAGGCAGTGTCTGAGTACAAGACTTCAAGATACCATAAGTTCATACTGCATAGATCGGAACAAAAGTTAAATTTTAATCTATGGTAACCGCGGTTAACTATGACATATGGACGTTGAACATCTCAGTCCCGCCCGTGACCATGAGTGCTGTAAAGCGTTCGAAACGTCGGGTATTTAAAAAGTTAAATATACGCGATAAATTCCGTAAAAACTAGTATTATTTCAATGTGTAGTGTTCGCGTAAATATAAGAAATCATTATGTTTGGCGATAACCTAAGCACCACAGCTGATATTCAGATGCCCTTACCACAACTTACATCACAGAAGTCTCCTGAAACAGACTTAAAAATAGTTATCTTTTATTACCTATTTACAACCTTAAACCGCGAGAATCTCTTAAAGAAAAATTTAAGGAAATAAATATTTAACTTTGTCTCTCCGTTTATCTATGAAAATTTGATGTATGTTCACAAAAATAAAGGTAGTTTTAGTATAAAAGTGACATACACTCTGTAAACACTAGGAACAACGACAAGCTGGTGCTATCAGTTTCTCGACTCCAGAGTCAGTAATTCATTCTTGGGGCAATGTATACGCTATTACAACAAAGTCGTAGAAAATATAAAAGGTCTCTCTATTACCAAGTCTAAATATTTAATTAAACAAAAACTGTATAGAAAGGGTTATAAATGAATACATGTTTCATAATAACCCCTGGGAATGAGGTGATCCCTTTCAAGCTGTTTCTCAATAAATTTTGTAAATATTTTGTGACCATTGACATTGTAAGATTTTTTTAAAAGTCCCGCTGGGTTTCTTGCTGGTTCTTCCCAGGACATAGGTTTTCTTTCGAACCAGTGGTTACGTAAAATATTGACTTTCAATAGGAATTACTTGTAATCCATATTGAATAAAAATATTCTATTCTATTCTATTAGACTAATAATACAACGGTGAATGTAAAACATAAAAAAATAATATCAAAAACGTTTCAAGTACTTCGAGGCTCTGATTTAAAAAAAAATGAGATAAATACATTTACATAGAAATCATTTCAGTAGTTCATTGCAATCTATCAAAAGTCCATTACTGATCGTTGGTACATAAAATTCATAGATATCATAGTTTCCAGGCTTGGCCGGAAGGTGGGAAAAAGCAGTTTTTTAATTAATTTTGATATTTTAAGGAACATATTGTTGTCCATTTAATTTAGAATAGGATGACAAACGAGCACACAGTCCACCTGATGGTAAGTGGATCGCTGTAGCCCGTAGACAATTAAGGATCAAAATGCAAATACGTTGTGACCCCTGAGGACTAAGATGAAATGTCTCGATTTCAGTTAAAAGGCTCTCCGATGCTCTACACTCACCATATGAAACACAGCAGCATTACGCTGCTATTTTACGTTGGTATTTTGTGAGATCGTGGACCTGTCCCGCTCAAGCCGACCCATTAATGCTACAACTATAATATAGCTGCAGCGTGTGTCTACCACATAAAGCTACGTAAAGCGTAAAGCTTTATTTATGTCGCGGCCAATTTGCATAATTAGCCTTGCCTTTATATTGAACGGCGCCGTTCAACTAACCATCCAATTGAATAAAATTGATAAGGTGACCATGCCACGTTATATAATACTACAAGGCTTTAGGGTGACCTTAGCGCTACTCCAACCACACCATAACCTACTGTCAGTAATATTACATCTTGTATTAGACGCATCGGCTGAGTATTATGATTCCAGCCGCTGCGCTGGTTAAACAGGACAGTTTAGTAAAAAGGCTAGGCTGTTAACTAAAAGGCTTATTGATCTAGTCGGCTTCGACATATATACAATTTTCAGTATATCTGTTTAGTTAGCTTGCAACTTCAATACGACTTGGCCGATTAAGGTCATAATATTATTCAAATAATATATTTATGATCATGGTAGTATCCGAAAGGTATATTGAAACTAGCTTGCCAGACGTTGTTTTGCCCTTTTTGACGACCCTTTGTCATGTCCTAATAAAAATCCTTAAACTCTCAAAAAAAATATTGTGAATCACCAATTGGCAAAAAAAAACTATCCTATCTCTCAAGTTGAACCAAACTGCACACGGTGTGCAAATTAGATTAAAATCGGTTAAGTAGTTTAGGGGTCTATCGCGGACAAACAACGTAATCGTAATATACGAGATATATATATATATATATATATATATATATATATATATATATATATATATATATATATATATATATATATATATATATATATATATATATATAAAAGAAAGTGTTGGAATAATATATAAACAACTCAAAATCGTGTAACTTAATTTTTCAATTTTACGACAACGTAAATTTTAAAACTTTTGAGACTGAAAAAGGAAAGTATAATAGACTCATGCCAAGCTACTATGAACCTCGCCGAAACCAAACGAATTGATAAATTTACCATGTTGTAGGTACTCGGCTGTTGAAAAAAATGATAAGCAAACCTATTTACTTAAAATTTAATTAATAAAAACAATTTGCACAACGCCATCTATCGATGACATTGGTTAACTATTGCACTTTTTTGACTAAGATATTAGGGTTTGTATATTTTTTATAGATATTTATTACGTTATCCGTTATTATTTTAGTTTACTGAGTTTAGATACAAATTATTTAATTACAAAAATGCCCTTGATCACTCCACACTCCATTAAACAAATTCGTACCTATACTTGTGCTCATACTTTAGAATATTAATCATTACTATATAAAACTAAGATACGCTTCACAATTTTCCTAAGGATAATTTTGATATAAATTAGTACTTTATAAAAGATACATTAACAAACAAACAGACAGACAGAAATGTATTCACTTACTTGTTTTTAGTCCCTCTCCATCTATTTTGTTACAAACTTGTAAAATGTACAGATATCTGCCATTTACATTTTTATTATATGTATAGATTGTGAAAGATTTATCTTAAATTTGAGCCGAAATGATTAATGAATCACCGATTAATTCGGCACCACAAAGGGTAATAATCAATAGCAAACTAATTTTCTTTCTATTATTCTTTCTATTTTTTATATTCTTTAGGGACTTTTAATTAGGTTGTATGCAGAATTCGGGTGTCCAGATGATATTAATTGTTTCAGCTAATAGAATGTGCGTTTTTTGACTGATATGCATTATAATAATATATTTTTTATAGTATAGGGTGATAAACGAGCACACAGTTCACCTGATGGTAAGTGGTTGCTGTAGCCCATAGACATCTACATCTATCATCGATTACGAATCAAAATGCAGATGCATTGTCACCCGTGAGGACTAAGATGGAAACCTGTTTTCTAGTAAAAAGTATATATAGTAATAATAATCCTTTATTCGATTGACAACGCGGCTGGGTGCTAACACTAATATATATATATATATATATATATATATATATATATATATATATATATATATATATATATATATATATATATGATTCCGGTTCCAGTGCTTGTAAATGTTAGACGCTTTTGTGCAACGCTCCCGTAATTTACGAAATAACACTGTTAAATATCACTATTCAGGAAACCAGAGTGAACCCAAAGTTATTTTGTGTGTTTGAACTTCAAAATACATTGGAAACATGAAAGAAAACGTTAGACAAAGTGCAAAAATACTATAGAAGCAGGAGTGAGGTTAACTGTTATAATAGACAGCGTATTTATATGGTTAACTGTAATTCACAACGAAGTGGTTAGTACCAAGATACCAACATAAGAGCAATTTTATTTATTTTTATTTAACTGGCTTCACGGCTCTGGGTTCTAGCCCTTCTTAGTACAACAGCAAAGACAAAGACAAAAGAGTACATTTTCACTAAGCATAAGGTTGCGTTCGAAAACTAATATACATTCTTTTCTATTTATTGCAAATATTAACGTTACGTTTCACCACAAGATGTCAACTAAACTATAATCATAGATGTCTGTTGCTAGAAAAAATGAAAGAACAACTTAATCTACAAACAATTATGATAACAGAAAACATTACAACAACAGTACTAAAAAAAAGTTGATGAAAAAATGAAACCGATCATTAAAGAAAACGAAAAATTGAAAAAAGAAATTGAAAAACTTAATAGGAAAATAGAAAATCTGGAAAAAATTAAAAAAGGAATAATTTATTAATTCACGGGCTCCCAGAACAAAAAAGTGGGACTCAAGAAGACTTAAAAACGCACGAATTTAATACCAGGAAGGAAATAGATGTCATACTAAAAGAAGAAGAAATAAATAGAATTCAAAGATTGGGAAAACGTGATACAGATGTTGGTAAAATCAGGCCAATACTACTTGCTACAACAACTCTTCAAAAAGAAGATTCAGATTCTCAAAAATAAGAAGAAATTGAAATCCAATACCTACATTACACATGATCTGTCAAAAGCAGCTCTGCTTAAAAAGAAGGAAAAAAGAAATATAGATAGAAAAAAAAATGAAAAAATAAAGAGAACTGAAACCCCCTAGCCCAAAATCTAGTGTTGGCGAAATAAAAAATAATGATCAGTTTCAGTACCTTTCAGTACCTACGTAAGAGATCACACTCACTCTCATACAAACATTTATACACAAATGAGGATACAGGCACCACAAGCCGGACAACTATAATACAATAAACAACAACAAGTTAACAGTCTCCCATCACGGTTGGTCCCCCCCCCCCCGAACGGGTTCCAGCCTTGTCGTGGCGGGGGGCTTAGAAGCCGTGGCTTGGTCACCCACGGCGAAACAAAGAGGAACCCATATGGCTGATCCGAGGTGGAGGGCCGGCCCGAGGTGGCCACTCCGAGTGGGCTTGGGAAGCCCACTTCGGATGTGTGTTGGTTGGTGGACTGCGGTGAGAGGTGTGTCCTCCCCACCTACCGCTGCAGCCGAGGTGGAGTCGCGGAGGAAGAGGAGTGTTGGTATGGCGATGCGCCACTCGCCCTATCCTCCGCGACTCAAACGGGGCCGCACCGTTGATGCGGTGATGATGGGGCTGCGGGGGGAGAGGATTGTCGGTATTGCGAGGCGCCGCTCTCCCTATCCTCCGCAGCCGAATCTTGGTTGGCGGCGGAGCCATAAACCAGATCCGCCGCTGGGGTCGGGAAGGCTAGTACTTCTAAGTGCTCGTTTTTCCTGGCCCCATGGCCTTCGCGCATCGGACGCGGGGGCGTCTGTTGCGCAGATGTAATTGGAGGCCGTGGAGGAAGGCGTGCCATGTGTTCTGGTGCGCCTTACTTGGGAAGGAGAACGGGGAGGAATATTCCTCTCCCGATGAGGTGCTGCCATGGGGCGGCAGTCGCTGGTGGGGCCGCGGATGTGTGCGAAACCGTTCCCGTAGCCCTGCCAATATGCGACGAAGGTGGAACACCATGGGGTTTTAGTCGGTGCGAGTCCGACATAATCCGTCCTTGCCCCCGCGAGGCGGGTATGCGTAGGCATTTCCCCATGTTAAAAAAAAAAAAACGGTTGGTCCCCGCGGGGATACTAGACTACTACCCTCCAACTAAAAGATGTGAGGTACTTCATATCGCAACACTAAATACGAGAACCCTTAGAATTCACGAAAGATTGCTAGAATTGGAAAAATCATTACAAAATATAAAATACGACATACTAGGTATAAGTGAAATGCGAAGACTGGGTGAAAAAAATAGATCACGGCAGCTATATACTGTATCACAAAGGAGAAACTGCTGGTTGCAGAGGAGTTAGTTTTTTAATAAAAATGTCAATGAGAGTATATACAAGAATTTATAGGAATATCTGATAGATTAGCAATTCTTAATGTGAAACTACCAGGATATAAGAAACCTTGGTATCATACAGGCATATGCACCCACTGAAAAATCCGAACTATCAGTGCTCGAAGCTTTCTATTGTGAGATATCTTTAACTATAAAAAACAACACCGACAAACATATAATCTTAATGGGGGTTTTCAATGCACAAATTGGAGCTAGACAAAACAATAACGAGTACGTACTTGGCAAGTTCGGATATGGAAAAAGAAGTCGCAACGGGCAGAAACTAGTTGAATTTCTAATGGGGCATAACCTATCAGCATTAAATACCAACTTTAATAAGAACAAAAATAATAAATGGACATGGATTTTCCCGGATGGCTCTTATAAAAATGAAATTGATTATATATTGAGCAACCACCTAAAAGCGTTCACCGACACTACTGTTATAAGCAATTTGAACTTTAATACAAACCATTGTATGGTACGCTGCTCACTTAAAAATTCCAAACAAAAATATCTCGCAATCATATTAAAAACAATGTGATCAAACTGTCAGGTCAACCTTACCTAATAATATATAAATACTAAATAAGAATATAATATATAGCGCGAACATAATGGATACCCACCTTTACCTTACCTACCTTAACTCATAAGTGGGAACACTTATTGTGACGGACGGGAAATTACGGAACCCTACACTGAGCGTTGCCCGACACGCTCTTTGCCGGTTTTTTTTAATTTTTATGTTAGCCCTCAGAAGTGATAATGCATCTCTGGCCTTTTTATTTTAAATAGACTTCAGGTGTACTTGGACTGCTGTAGTCACGTATCATCGAGTATAGATTTCGTTTGTCATTTTAATTTTTATAAAAAAGACAAGTTCAAGTCAGTCTCGTAAAACTTTATTAGAATCTGTCCTAAGAGCATTCCATAAGAAGTCACTCAAACTCGAGTAATATCTATCCACTTTAGGCAAATAGCGACGAAAAATTATGCGCGGCAGTTTGAAGAGAAAGTACACTAATGGATTAAATAAGGGACAGAGAATTTTAGCATTGTATATTTTTTTCATAACTTTATAAAAATTACCTTGAAGGCTACCTAATGAAAAGTGGCTACTGTACCTCATAGACTCCTTCAAATCCATTTCAATTTCTCTCCCTGGAACTTACGTGGAATGAGTGTAACTAATAAAATAGTATATTTTTATAGCTACTTATTCAGACATGGTTACTGGGTCGGTTTGACAATGGTAGGCCCTTTAGGAGTACGTAAGAATCGCATTTCATAATAACAGCGTAAAATAGTACCTTAATTTGTTAATAGAAGAGGGGAAAACGAGCATTCGGCTCACCTGATGGTAAGTGACTGCCGCCGCCCATGAAAAATCGTTACACCAGGGGAATTGTAGATGCGTAGCCAGCCTTTTAGAAATTGAAGGCCCCGAGTCGTATCGGTCGGAAAAGTCGCCGGTGGTAAACAATTTCACAGAGAATTTGAACGAGAAAGAAAGATTCTAGTAAAACGCACAGTGGAGGACCACCAAGCATGCAAATGGTGAGTGTGGTACCGTGAATTTTGACGTGATGTGCGTTCTTGAAATTTGGCGGCTGGAAAAATTCCTCAGAACACTCCTCGTAGTTAGATGTGATAATAAACGCAAAGAGATGCAATATCCCTACGCAGCGCTAGTGAACCGAGCCGATCAGAAAGAACTCGGTCGTCGACGATTCGAACCGTTCTGTGCTGGATGCGGTCAAGTGGATGGAGCTGGCACTGTATTCTATGTGAAGCCGAACTTGCGCTTTGTAAAGCAGCTGCATGCGATGTGCCGGCATGAAATACTGTCTCGCTCTGCTGAGCACGCCAAGCTTTTTTAGAGGCCAATTTGACCCTACCTCCAAGTGACCACGAAACTGCATACCTACTATTCGATATGTTGAAGCTGAGAATTACCCGAAACGTCGGTAATTAAAAATCATATAAATTAAACGCGATAAAATCCGTAAAAGTTGTTATAGTCAATGTGTATCGTTCGCGTAAATATAAGAAGACATAAATACAAGTTACAGAAAAACAATCGTATTCGAAATATTAAAGTAAAAATTTTAGTTGTAAAGACAAAATAATCAATTAATATAAAAGTAGTAAATTATATTTTAAATAATTTAAAGTTTATTTTGTATTTAATTCCATAAATCAGACTAAAATAATTAAATAACAAAACCTGTTGAACTTTCCTTTGCCTCGATTAAGATTATTATAAGTGTTTTGGCCTTATCGAGACCTTTAGAAATAAAGTGAATGGACTATATTAACAATAGGTTTAATGCCGTTAAACGTTTAAACAAATGTACATATATTGCAAGGTGAAATGCTCGTCTGCTACCGCGTCTCGCAGCTGAGTGGGGAACGGTGGCGCTCGCGCTGCCGCAGTGTCAGCGAGTCAGCGAGTCAGCGACCGGCCCGTCCTTTCCTTCGTCTACCGTTGTCACACGAGGCGCGACGAGGTGCGATTTTTATACAGTTTTTGTTTGATTGAAAAAAAGCTAACTTGATTGACAGACCTTCTGTAATTACGAGACTTTGTTATAGAAGCATATTAGCCATGATGATGATTAGTCTGTGTGTGCATTCGATTTTTAACATTTTAAAATCTTGACTTTGCAACGAACTATAAATCGACTTGCATTATAAAAAAAATACATATTTCATGCATGGTTTGCTGCAGCTATATTATGAATATAACACAAATGAATCTGCTCGACCAGAAAAGAGCTACACTGTCTGAGAATACTACCGGAAAATGGTAGCTTAAGAGGATTGTGAAGTGCCAAAACGCGGTGCGAGTAGGTATTTTCAAAAATGCTATCTGTTTCACATCGCTCGCTCCGTATCGCCGGCGTGCGATAGAGAGAGTTGCAAATGTTGAAACAATGGCCTACACTTTCTTTTTTAAAATATTGTTTCGAGCGATAACTTTTTTACCCCCTAAAACTTTTTGGTCTCATTAGATTCAGTTTACCCTAATTTAGGTCTGTATGTTTTACTTTGTTCAGCTTGGTTTAATTAAAAAAATAAAAACGCTTGAGGAAGTTTTTAAGCCAAAAATGTAGATATTTAGGTGATAATAACTTATATCGTAAGCAATATTTCCCTAAAATAAAAACGTACGCACCTAGTTTTTCATTATATCTAACGTTTAGGGAGGGAAAACGTTATCGCTTTTTGTATGAAAATTTACTACAGATACACAATCCGCTTAATGTGCTGTGTTTCGTATGCTGAATGTAGAGAATTATAGACACTTCTTACTGGAAACAAGGCATTCCATTTTAGTGCTCAGACGTGAAAACTCATGTGCATTTTGTTCTTCATTTTTATTTATTTATAATACTACGTAATATAACATCCTACACAAGAATTTTCTCCTGTATATTGGAGGCATTTTACCCTATTTGTAGGCCATACAAACGCGCGGGATTAGAAGCCGCAGCCCTCAGCACTGTTAATCTTTGCTAAGCCACTGCACCACGGAGCGGTTAAAATGTTGATGCTTAATCGAGGATAGATGACTATAGCCCCAGCATTCACTTCAGATGAATGAT